CTCCAGAATGATAAAACTTATTTTAATTTGCTGGATACGTATTATATACACATATGCGTATAGATTCCTGTATACGTTATACGCACGTTTGTCTGTTGTGTATACCTACTATAATATTATAATAGTTTGTACTGGCGGGTTGGTCGTAGATAGACAGCTGCTGTAGCCACGGCCGCTTCATAAACAAGAGACTGCGGTGTAATGAAGAGACAGGTCTTATATATTTTAACGTCATGATATCATATTCTAATATTATTATTATGTATGAAACAGAAACGCGYCCGCGTCCGGTGTTTTGAATGATATGGACTTATTTTATTATTATTGTAGGAGGTATGTGTATGATATTATTATTATAATATATAGATCACGGTTTGTTTTTCGTTTTTACCCTATCAGTCATGTATTGACATGACTCCGCCGCATAGCTGTCCGTCGCACGAGAATGCTGTCCGTCGGAATGCACAACGCGCGCGCCGACGTTATTAATATTTGACCACGTACAATAATAACGTTTTAATACCTTGATAGGATCTGACACGTGAAAAATGATGCGCGAAGCTATCCACATATAGCTACGGGGGCGGTCCCACTCCGGCCGAGTGTACTGCGCAGAGGTATACATTATGCGTGAGTGTGTGTGTGTGCGTGTGTATTGGGATATAAGAAAAAATTCGTCAGTTCATTGTTCTTGTACCGAATTTATTTTTTTAACCTCGTCGTACGATTCCATTATTAAAAACCCGACTGACGTCATGTGGAGAGCGACAATATTGTGTTCGGTAGGACCGTTTTACAAGCACCGACCAATAAATCTTGACACGCCGCAAAGATCTATTGCACACGCACGCACATACACACGCAATATTATACGTACTAACGTACTATATGTKCGGGGTTATCGTCGGATTTCGTTTCATTTTTGGAGCTGCTGATGGCGTATAATCGATTCGGACGCGTATATTATAATATAATATTATATACCTGACATATAGAGGTACCTATATATACATTATACAATGATATCGTGCCGCATATTGCAGCATTGTGATTATCAATATTTATAATACAATACATTACAACCGAAAAAAGCTAAAAAAAAAAGTAATCCACAGTCATATTGTTATTAGTATTATTATTACAGACACCGTAGTAATCGTCATCAAAAAGCACAAATTTTCTTCGGTAATATGGCACTCATTTTCCATACACCCATTATCAACCATAACAATATGATATTGTATGTGATTAATCGTATATTCATATTATGTCTATAGGTGCACACTACGGGCGAATGTAAGTTTCTACACGAAACCTAACGCGTGGTGCAAGAACATGCAACGCGGAGCAAATGCTTGTAACGGCGAGCAAAGACTTGAAAATTCGCACCGTGGAACTTGTATAAAAAGTATATAATATGATAATTTATTACATTAATAATAGTAATTTTGATATATTATCATATGGTGTTTAGAAGGGAACAAATACGTTCACTTAAATTTAATTAGTTCTAATTTCRCTAATTTTGGGTTTAGATTACAAGTCGATTGATCAAAATTACTTGATAAATTATTTATCCGAAAATGATGTTAAAGAGTGGGCAAGTGGGTATCGTTCTGTTGTATAGTAGAGATGGASAGRCTATGTCACTGTAATGGATGATGTGTTAAATTTGAATACGATGACAGGTATCATTGTATACGAAAAACGATTCTGAACGGAGGTGATTTGTCAGTCTAGGATATATTATATTACCTATATTATTTAAATTATTTAAATTATAATACATTTTTTTTGATAAAAGTAATTAATTTTTAAGTAAACATTTGAACTTTAAATGCTTATATATAAACAAAAATTGTGACTAAAGATTTTTAACTTTTTCCTACTACGGTGAGTACAACTTATAATAAACCTCTTGTTCTAAATAAGATTTTTTGGATGACAAAATTTTTTTTTATAAGCGTTTAAAAAAAA